TATGTGTATGTATTTGTTAAGTATTTCCATCTCAGATTTTGCTTTTGTTTTAGTTAAGAAACGAAAAATTTGTTGGACTTTTTGAACAACTGACTCAAAGAAGAAATAACACAACCTGTTGAATGCGTCTTGTGCCATTCAGTTGAATGCTGCTAAATACAGTTTGATGCTCATCAGTATTGTTTACAACGTTCACCTAGTACATATACTCTGAATGAATGCATTTCTAATCGTTTCTACTTTTACATTCTTTTCACGTCTCTTCTTCCACTTTTTTTTCTATCCGTCAAATCGTCTCAGTTCTTTGTCCCGTCATCCACTAAACATTGTGTATCACTCGTTTTTCCCCACTAGAATCATTCGTTTCACCTTATTGCTATGGTTCGTCAGGTGAGTCTGTTGCACCGATGCATCCTATCAGCATATCACTGATAACGACAACGATTTCACATGTTTATCTGCCATAAAAACAGTGAAAATGTTTGCAGACGTTTTGTTCAAAACATCACATTGACTCTTCTTTAGCGGCATTGCATTGAAAAAGCAATTATTTGCTTGATAATGGAAAACAATGAAAATTCAGTTGATTTGTTGTTTTTTATTTTTGTTTATTGAAAATGAGTGAGGTTTTGCACTTGATAACGAAGCAATGAAAATTGCACGACGTCATATTGAAACAATTGCGTGTAAGTTTGAATCATGAGAAGATAGTGCTGCTTATCGTTGCTGATAATTGTTTTGTGAATGATATTGGATTGGATGACGTATTCAAGCAGTTGGTTGTTACGATCCGAGTTGATGAATCATTTTCGATATTCTAGTCTGTTCCACTTTACGATCGCAATCGTTCACTTTGTCCGAGCACGAACAGAGCCTTTTGCTAGAGTTTCTTCAGGTATTGTCCACAGTTTTCGGTTGAATTTCAATGAATTGCTGTCATTTCTACAATGAATTCCTTATCTTTCCATGACAATTTGCGACCGATTCAGTCCTAATGAGCAATAGTGTATGATGAGGTTATGTTTGTGCATTCCACATGATCGCTATTACGATCGCACTTTGTTTCATTTTCCAGTGTGAAACACAACTATCGTCCACATTTGACGATTCAAATGTTTCGTATTCTTCAGTTGTAGGTAGGTTATCGTATGGAACCAGTTCGATACGATCAAAGTAATTATATCGAAATTTATACTCTTTTCAACACTTGAATTCATTTTATCTATCTTTCTTCACAGTTCGTTTTTGTCTTGTACATATTTCACGATTTCACTTCTAATTGAATTTCCTTATGTTTGTCCTTATATACATATTGCTCCACAAATCTTATTCATACATCCGTGAACTTTTTGATTTTCAATCAACGTTATGTGCTCATTTTTCGTTTGTTCGAAAATTTATCCACTTCCTGACAAATTTTTTTCATAAATCACTTNTCAATCGTTACATCTCAGAGTCCAGCCTGGAATTTGTCTAACAATAAAATACAATTCAGCCAACAATAAGGCGATTGAGTAATGTATTCGACTTCCAGTCGAACAGTAGTCTGTTACGGGCTATACAACCATTGCAATCGTACGCCAAAACACTGCTTGATGAGGATTTTGACTTTGTCGTTGAAATGATAAGTTACTGGATAAGAATTGATTGTATCTAGTTGGTCAGAAATTTGTTTGTGTTGATATTGGTTGAATGTGCAATATGAATGGGGTGAATTTGAGAGTGTTGATCGAGTGTTCGTATTCAACTCGAAGATGGCAAACGAAGCGATCGGCGGTGTGCAAGAGAACAAATACGAATCGATCGTTGCGTGGCACGAAGCTAACTGTCAACCGAGCACGTCCACTGCACCACAACAAAATCAGTTCATTCTGAATGACTCTCAACCACAACAACAACCACAACCGATTAAAACCAAACGAAAAAGCAACGTGAGTAGCGCTTATAATCATACTTGACTGCACTCTTCCTGAATACCTCCTGAATACCACTGACAATCATTTGATATTTGCAAACATTAATATTCTCTCAAGAAAAGCACATTCTTTCCAATCAAATAATGAAACTTACGTTTGCACAATCATCATCCGTACTGTTCTATTGCACATCCATATTTATGTCTCGTATAAGTTTGATCATAAACCTCTTAGTTTGAATCTGTAAAGTCGTCTAAATCATGGAAACTTTGCACAGTCACCTGTGCAACAATCTTGACCTGGATCGTTATGATGCTAGTTACTAGCATTGCTAGTTATTTGGCGATTCCCGCAAGGATGGGAGAAAACAAACGGTATGGGAAATTTCTGAAATAGAAAGAAATTTTACGGTTTTACATAACCATAACTTCCATTAGATGAATGCAGTAAAGTATTGAGAACAGTTTGTGAAGGTGAAAGAGTTTCAGCAAGAAATGCGTTTGCGATCACCGTCATCGACGAACGGCATCGCACCACCACCACCAGTATCAGGCATGTCGGTTACATCTTCAAATTCACCGATCACCTCACGGCCAGAATCATCCAC